GTTGGTGGAGGACCACAGGGAAGAGCTAACCACTGAAAAGCTGCAAGAGCTTCATCTCAAACAGCAACAGACTGCAGCTGAGGAATTTGCTTCAGAGGAGGAGGAAGAGGGAGTGAAGGAGGTGCCTTCTTCAGAGATTAGAGAGGTGTGTGCAATGTGGACTAGGGTGCAAGCTTTTGTAGAGAACCACCACCCTGACACAGCTGAAACAAGCCATATCTGCAACATGTTTAGTGACAAAACCCTGTCCCACTTCAGGGAAATCCTAGAGATGCCAGAAACAGAGCACTCTGGGCAGATATTTTGTGAGACAGGGGTCCAGTGACTCTCAAGCAATAAAAGTGGCAATAAAAGACAGAGAAGGGAAGTAACCCCAGAGAAGGCTTTGCTACCTAAAGTCTTTATGGAAGGGGATTCCCATTCCAAATACTAACTCCTCTCTCTTTCCTCCTCTCTATCTTCCAGAAGCCAGCATTAACCTTTAATAAAGGATGTAATACTTACATAATTGTTAAAAAAAGTTATTTTTTTGTGAATATTTTTGTTTGGAACGGATTAATTGTATTTCCATTAATTCTTATAGGAAATATTAATTCGGTTATCGGCCGACCTTCTGGAACGGATTACGGCCGATAACCAGGGGTCCACTGTATTTGTGTTTGAATATTGTTTTCTTGTAATTTTTTGGTGTTACATAGTATGTTATGGTAACTTAGAAAATCATCCAAGAATTTTGTGCAGACACCCACCCTCATTACCACATGTTTTACCTTTACACACTTTCTTAGTCTTTATTATGCTAATTTTCAGTCATGAGTAGTATGTACAAGTTGTAGAATTAGATCCTGAGTAGAGTACTGTTATTACGTTAGAATTCTTTGTAAGTAGTGATGGAATGATGTCAAGATTTTGAAAAATATTGACACTCAGTTTTAGGTCAATACTGATATCGCCAAACTTAGCTCATACCCACTGATACTGATGTTCATGGGTTTGTCTTTGAGAGAAATTTATCTTGAACTTGTTGGGTGTAGTGGGGTCACCATACTAATAGTCTGTCTTAAATAATCACCTGCCAGGCATAAAATTTTGTACATTTTTAGGTGCATATTTTAAAGAAGCAAAAATTCATTTTATCGTAGGTTAGCAATAAAAAAGAATTGTGCAGTCTTCTGTTTTAATGGACGATATTATTTATTAAATATGTTTACTTGAATAGAGGTTAGTATGAATGTTGAATAGCCAAACAGTGAGAGTTCGTAGATTATTGCATAGTATTACATTTGTAACTGTGTTTTTATTATTATCACACTGGCCGATTCCCACCAAGGCAGGGTGGCCCGAAAAAGAAAAACTTTCACCATCATTCACTCCATCACTGTCTTGCCAGAAGGGTGCTTTACACTACAGTTTTTAAACTGCAACATTAACACCCCTCCTTCAGAGTGCAGGCACTGTACTTCCCATCTCCAGGACTCAAGTCCGGCCTGCCGGTTTCCCTGAATCCCTTCATAAATGTTACTTTGCTCACACTCCAACAGCACGTCAAGTATTAAAAACCATTTGTCTCCATTCACTCCTATCAAACACGCTCACGCATGCCTGCTGGAAGTCCAAGCCCCTCGCACACAAAACCTCCTTTACCCTCTCCCTCCAACCTTTCCTAGGCCGACCCCTACCCGCCTTCCTTCCACTACAGACTGATACACTCTTGAAGTTATTCTGTTTCGCTCCATTCTCTCCACATGTCCGAACCACCTCAACAACCCTTCCTCAGCCCTCTGGACAACAGTTTTGGTAATCCCGCACCTCCTCCTAACTTCCAAACTACGAATTCTCTGCATTATATTCACACCACACATTGCTCTCAGACATGACATCTCCACTGCCTCCAGCCTTCTCCTCGCTGCAACATTCATCACCCATGCTTCACACCCATATAAGAGCGTTGGTAAAACTATACTCTCATACATTCCCCTCGTTGCCTCCAAGGACAAAGTTCTTTGTCTCCACAGACTCCTAAGTGCACCACTCACCCTTTTCCCCTCGTCAATTCTATGATTCACCTCATCTTTCATAGACCCATCCGCTGACACGTCCACTCCCAAATATCTGAATACATTCACCTCCTCCATACTCCCTCCCCCCCATCTGATATCCAATCTTTCATCACCTAATCTTTTTGTTATCCTCATAACCTTACTCTTTCCTGTATTCACTTTAAATTTTCTTCTTTTGCACACCCCACCAAATTCATCCACCAATCTCTGCATCTTCTCTTCAGAATCTCCCACGAGCACAGTGTCATCAGCAAAGAGCAACTGTGACAACTCCCACTTTATGTGTGATTCTTTATCTTTTATCTCCACGCCTCTTGCCAAGACCCTCGCATTTACTTCTCTTACAACCCCATCTATAAATATATTAAACAACCACAGTGACATCACACATCCTTGTCTAAGGCCTACTTTTACTGGGAAATAATTTCCCTCTTTCCTGCATAGTCTAACTTGAGCCTCACTATCCTCGTAAAAACTCTTTACTGCTTTCAGTAACCTACCTCCTACACCATACACCTGCAACATCTGCCACATTGCCCCCCTATCCACCCTGTCATACGCCTTTTCTTAACTTGTTAATCTCACTCCAAAACTTTTTCTTATTTTCAACAAAATTTGTTGATAACATCTCACCCACTCTCTCATTTGCTCTCTTTTTACATTGCTTCACCACTCTCTTAACCTCTCTCTTTTTCTCCATATACTCTCCCCTCCTTGCATCACTTCTACTTTGTAAAAACTTCTCATATGCTAACTTTTTCTCCCTTACTACTCTCTTCACATCATCATTCCACCAATCGCTCCTCTTCCCTCCCGCACCCACTTTCCTGTAACCACAAACTTCTGCTGAACACTCTAACACTACATTTTTAAACCTACCCCATACCTCTTCGACCCATTGCCTATGGTCTCATTAGCCCATCTATCCTCCAATAGCTGTTTATATCTTACCCTAACTGCCTCCTCTTTTAGTTTATAAACCTTCACCTCTCTCTTCCCTGATGCTTCTATTCTCCTTGTATCCCATCTACCTTTTACTCTCAGTGTAGCTACAACTAGAAAGTGATCTGATATATCTGTGGCCCCTCTATAAACATGTACATCCTGAAGTCTACTCAACAGTCTTTTATCTACCAATACATAATCCAACAAACTACTGTCATTTCGCCCTACATCGTATCTTGTATACTTATTTATCCTCTTTTTCTTAAAATATGTATTACCTATAACTAAACCCCTTTCTATACAAAGTTCAATCAAAGGGGTCCCATTATCATTTACACCTGGCACCCAAACTTACCTACCACACCCTCTCTAAAAGTTTCTCCTACTTTAGCATTCAGGTCCCCTACCACAATTACTCTCTCACTTGGTTCAAAGGCTCCTATACATTCACTTAACATCTCCCAAAATCTCTCTCTCTCCTCTGCATTCCTCTCTTCTCCAAGTGCATACACGCTTATTATGACCCACTTCTCGCATCCAACCTTTACTTTAATCCACATAATTCTTGAATTTACACATTCATATTCTCTTTTCTCCTTCCGTAACTGATCATTCAACATTACTGCTACCCCTTCCTTTGCTCTAACTCTCTCAGATACTCCAGATTTAATCCCATTTATTTCCCCCCACCGAAACTCCCCTACCCCCTTCAGCTTTGTTTCGCTTAGGGCCAGGACATCCAACTTCTTTTCATTCATAACATCAGCAATCATCTGTTTCTTGTCATCCGCACTACATCCACGCACATTTAAGCATCCCAGTTTTATAAAGTTTTTCTTCTCTTTTTTAGTAAATGTCTACAGGAGAAGGGGTTACTAGCCCATTGCTCCCGGCATTTTAGTCGCCTCATACGACACGCATGGCTTACGGAGGAAAGATTCTTTTCCACTTCCCCATGGACAATAGAAGAAATAAAGAGGAACAAGAGCTATTTAGAAAAAGGAGAAAAACCTAGATGTATGTATATATATATGCATGTGCGTGTCTGTGAAGTGTGACCAAAGTGTAAGTAGGAGTAGCAAGATATCCCTGTTATCTAGCGTGTTTATGAGACAGAAAAAGAAACCAGCAATCTTACCATCATGCAAAACAGTTACAGGTTTCTGTTTCACAGTCATCTGGCAGGACGGTAGTACTTCCCTGGGTGGTAGGTAACTATGTATGTGTATTTATTTCTTATTTGAGCCATTCAATTTATGCTGACCCTTCAAAAGAGTGCCTTGATGCTGGTGAGAGAATCTAAGGAATTCTATCTACACTTAGATCAAACCTAATTACCTGTAGGATCCTGCAGGTTTTGCACTTCCCCATGAATATAATAATAATTTATCATGCCGACCAAAAAGTTAGAAAGTTTATTTCATGGATCATTCTTCCCACCATAATTTTAACTAGTATAATAGATAATTTGTAGATTTTTTTTTATTTGTACAGTGTGACTTGATATGTCAGGCTTCTGTTTGCAGTCTGAAAGTATAGCATTTAAGTTTGATTACTTAGATATCATTAAACTAAATAAATTCTCATGTGATACTATCAACTGCATTAACAAATATATTGTTTTATCTACTAATAGAAAACATTAAATATTCTTCGATCTTTTATGCAACTTCCTTTGATTCATTAAATTGATTTTTCTCGTCAAAGGATCAGATCATGAACATGAGCTAAACAAAGGCTATAATTTTTGTATTATCTTTGATGAGCAGATAAAAGCAAGGGAACGTACTAGTTAAGAATCAGATTTAATTATAGATTTCATATAAATTAATGAAGAGAAAATATTGATGTAACTGATACTTGCATGATGATTATTTTTTTTTTTAAGAGACAGGTGAATTAAGGAGCATGTTTTTTGTGTGTGATTTGGAAGGGTGTGAAAAAATTAGAAAATAAATCTATAGCTTTTTTTCATTATTGTTATTATTTTGCCAGGATGTTTACCACTTCCAAATCAACAATGGTGGCCCATGGTATCATGCTAGACTACGGCCACATACCAAAACATTTCTTGAGAAGATATCAAAATACTTTGAGCTTCACATCAGTACATTTGGTGTGAGGGAATATGCTCATTATATAGCCCACTTCTTGGATCCAGATGGAAAATTGTTTGGCCAGCGGATCCTTTCCAGAAATGAATGCCTTGATGTGATGTCAAAAAAGGCTAATCTTGAGTAAGATACTGTTTTTTTTCTTTTTGTTGTTCAGGAAAGTTTTGATGATCAGAAAGGTTTAACCAAAAACTGTGAGACAAAAGTCTTAAAATTTAATTCCTACAGTCTTTACTGAAACATTGATTTAATTAAAATTCTATCCATGCCATGTCCTTCCTTTAAAATTCTCAATTATTATAATTATTTTCTTGTAGAAAATTAGCTTTATTTATGCTACATTGAATAGGTATATTAACAATAAATGATGGAGATCCATAAGATCTTGCACATGTTCTCTCAATATTCATCAGATTTAGTGAGAAAAACTTGACTGTTCTATGGAAATATTAAATGGTAATTGCAAGGAATCAATTTTTTTTTTTTTAGATGATTGCACTTGGATCTTTTATATAACATATCCACTCATAACAAAAGATCATAGCATAATAGTTAGCCTTCAAAAGGGTAACTGATAGTAATAGTCAAGAATGGCTTACAGTGATAGCTGAAATGAATTCTACTTAGTCTCTCACCAACTGATAATGGGATCTTATAAGACACTCTGAAACTAGTTATTGTGTATGAGTGCATATGCTGAGTATTCATTTATGGAGTGTATGTTTGTGGATATTATGAATGAGACGAAGCTGGATGTCGTGGCTTTAAGTGAAACAAAGCTGAAGGGGGTGGGAGAGTTTCAGTGGAGAGGAATAAATGGGATTAGGTCAGGGGTTTCAAATAGTTAGAGCTAAAGAAGGAGTAGCAATAATGTTGAAGGATAAGCTATGGCAGGAAAAGAGGGACTATAAATGTATTAATTCGAGGATTATGTGGAGTAAAATAAAGGTTGGATGTGAAAAGTGGGTTATAGTAAGCGTGTATGCACCTGGAGAAGAGAGAAGTGTAGAGGAGAGTGAGAGATTTTGGGAAATGTTGAGTGAATGCGTGGGGAGTTTTGAACCAAGTGTGAGAGTACTTGTGGTTGGAGATTTCAATGCTAAAGTAGGTAAAAATGTTGTGGAGGGAGTAGTAGGTAAGTTTGGGGTGCCAGGGGTAAATGTAAATGGGGAGCCTTTAATTGAGATATGTGTAGAAAGAGATTTGGTAATAAGTAATAAATATTTTATGAAAAAGAGGATAAATAAATATACAAGGTATGATGTAGCACGTAATGAAAGTAGTTTGTTAGATTATGTATTGGTGGATAAAAGGTTGATGGGTAGGCTCCAGGATGTACATGTTTATAGAGGGGCAACTGATATATTGGATCATTATTTAGTTGTAGCTACAGTTAGAGTAAGAGGTAGATGGGACAAGAGGAAGGTGGCAACAACAAGTAGGAGGGAATTGAAAGTGTATAAACTAAGGGAGGAGGAAGTTCGGGCGAGATATAAGCGACTATTGGCAGAAAGGTAGGCTAGTGCAAAGATGAGTAGTGGGGGGTTGAAGAGGGTTGGATGAGTTTTAAAAATGCAGTACGTATTAGAATGTGGGGCAGAAGTTTGTGGTTATAGGAGGGTGGGGGCAGGAGGAAAGAGGAGTGATTGGTGGAATGATGAAGTAAAGGGTGTGATAAAAGAGAAAACGTTAGCTTATGAGAGGTTTTTACAAAGCAGAAGTGTTATAAGAAGATCAGAGTATATGGAGAGTAAAAGAAAGGTGAAGAGAGTGGTGAGAGAGTGCAAAAGGAGAGCAGATGATAGAGTGGGAGAGGCATTGTCAAGAAATTTTAATGAAAATAAGAAAAAATTTTGGAGTGAGTTAAACAAGTTAAGAAAGCCTAGGGAATGTATGGATTTGTCAGTTAAAAACAGAGTAGGGGAGTTAGTAGATGGGGAGAGGGAGGTATTAGGTAGATGGCGAGAATATTTTTAGGAACTTTTAAATGTTGAGGAAGAAAGGGAGGCAGTAATTTCATGCACTGGTCAGGGAGGTATACCATCTTTTAGGAGTGAAGAAGAGCAGAATGTAAGTGTGGGGGAGGTACGTGAGGCATTACGTAGAATGAAAGGGGGTAAAGCAGCTGGAACTGATGGGATCATGACAGAAATGTTAAAAGCAGGGGGGATATAGTTTTGGAGTGGTTGGCACTTTCATTTAATAAATGTATGAAAGAGGGGAAGGTACCTAGGGATTGGCAGAGAGCATGTATAGTCCCTTTATATAAAGGGAAGGGGAACAAAAGAGAGTGTAAAAATTATAGAGGAATAAGTTTACTGAGTATACCAGGAAAAGTGTACAGTAGGGTCATAATTGAAAGAATTAGAGGTAAGACAGAATGTAGGATTGCGGATGAGCAAGGAGGTTTCAGAGTGGGTAGGGGATGTGTAGATCAAGTATTTACATTGAAGCATATATGTGAACAGTATTTAGATAAAGGTAGGGAAGTTTTTATTGCATTTATGGATTTAGAAAAGGCATATGATAGAGTGGATAGGGGAGCAATGTGGCAGATGTTGCAAGTATATGGAATAGGTGGTAAGTTACTAAAAGCTGTAAAGAGTTTTTATGAGGATAGTGAGGCTCAGGTTAGGGTGTGTAGAAGAGAGGGAGACTACTTCCCAGTAAAAGTAGGTCTTAGACAGGGATGTGTAATGTCATCATGGTTGTTTAATATATTTATAGATGGGGTTGTAAAAGAAGTAAATGCTAGGGTGTTTGGGAGAGGGGTGGGATTAAATTATGGGGAATCAAATACAAAATGGGAATTGACAGTTACTTTTGCTGATGATACTGTGCTTATGGGAGATTCTAAAGAAAAATTGCAGAAGTTAGTGGATGAGTTTGGGAGTGTGTGTAAAGGTAGAAAGTTGAAAGTGAACATAGAAAAGAGTAAGGTGATGAGGGTATCAAATGATTTAGATAAAGAAAAATTGGATATCAAATTGGGGAGAAGGAGTATGGAAGAAGTGAACGTTTTCAGATACTTGGGAGCTGACGTGTCGGCGGATGGATTTATGAAGGATGAGGTTAATCATAGAATTGATGAGGGAAAAAAGGTGAGTGGTGCATTGAGGTATATGTGGAGTCAAAAAATGTTATCAATGGAGGCAAAGAAGGGAATGTATGAAAGTATAGTAGTACCAACACTCTTACATGGGTGTGAAGCTTGGGTTGTGAATGCAGCAGCGAGGAGGCGGTTGGAGGCAGTGGAGATGTCCTATCTAAGGGCAATGTGCGGTGTAAATATTATGCAAAAAATTCGGAGTGTGGAAATTAGGAGAAGGTGTGGAGTTAATAAAAGTATTAGTCAGAGGGCTGAAGAGGGGTTGTTGAGGTGGTTTGGTCATTTAGAGAGAATGGATCAAAGTAGAATGACATGTAGGAGAAGGAAGGTGGGGTGGGGGTCGTCCTCGAAAAGGTTGGAAGGAAGGGGTAAGGGAGGTTTTGTGGGCGAGGGGCTTGGACTTCCAGCAGGCGTGCATGAGCATGTTTGATAGGAGTGAATGGAGACGAATGGTATTTGGGACCTGACGATCTGTTGGAGTGTGAGCAGGGTAATATTTAGTTTAGGGATTCAGGGAAACCTGTTATTTTTATATAGCCGGACTTGAGTCCTGGAAATGGGAAGTACAATGCACTCTAAAGGAGGGGTTTCGGGACATTAGCAGTTTTGGAGGAATATGTTGTGTATCTTTATACGTATATGCTTCTAAACTGTTGCTCTGAGCACCTCTGCAAAAGCAGTGATTATGTGTGAATGAGGTGAAAGTGTTGAATGATGATGAAAGTATTTTCTTTTTGGGGATTTTCTTTCTTTTTTGGGTCACCCTGCCTCGGTGGGAGACAGCTAACTTGTTGAAAAAAAAAATGTTTGTATTTAATGCATGTATATATTGTATGCGCCAATGTGTTTTTAGGGGATGTAATGTACAAGAAATTACATGGTTTGGTACATATTACACTTGTATCTTCAAACATGCAAAGTAATTTAGATACACTTCATACATATGCATAGACAGTACTGTTAAGTACATGTAGTTTACATTTGCTGTTTTGATTTATAAATTATTCTCTGTATAAGCAATGGAGATTCATACAGCAAACCCCCAAATTTGCAGGGACTAAATTCCTAGAGAGCCCTACAAATTAAGACAGTGAATGCTGTACAATCCCTCTAAATTCTGTTGTTATAATCAAATTTTCAATTATAGAGTTTCATCCTGTGTAGATAAACTGCTGTAGAAGATGTGAGAATGTACAAGTATACTGTGTAATGTATGGCACTTTACACTAGTGGATGTTAGGTTAAGCTGCTAATATACACTGACTTCCCTTTTCCAAATGTTTTTATGCAGGTGTTCTATATAATTTAAGAATTATATGGCACAGAAGTGATGGAGTGAATGATGATGAAAGTTTTCTTTTTCGGGCCACCCTGCCTTGGTGGGAATTGGCTGATGTGTTAATAAAAAAAAAAAAAAAAGGCACAGAAGCATAAAAATCTCTGCATTATTTTCTGATGGAGAGAAATGGTATAAAATACACATATGATGGATAGAAAAGACAAATGCAGCATAATCCGATGCTTTATTGACTATACAGTAAGGCCCCACTTATACGGCAGGTTAGGTTCCAAGCTACTGCCAGAAAGCGGGTATTGCAGTAAAGCAGAACGCCCTATTTTTCCACTTACAAATACATATAAATGCCAGATAACAAGTTTCCACTGACATTAATTTAGTAGTAGAACTAGGCATTAACCCTTTGACTGTTTCAGTCGTATATATACGTCTTACGAGCCAATGTGTTTGACGTATACTGTACATGTATACTCAAAAATTCTAGCGGCTTCAAATCAAGCAGGATAAAGCTGGTAGGCCCACATGTGGGAGAGCGAGTCTGTGTGGTCAATGTGCGCAGTATAAAAAAATCCTGCAGCACACAGTGCATAATGAGAAAAAAAAACTCCGTGTTTTTTTATTAAAACCCTGACTTGGAGATGTATTTTTGTATAGTATTTATAGTTGTATTCTTGTTTTTTTGGTCTCATTTGATAAAATGGAATGCATATTATAGAA